TTTTATTAATTTTTAATTGAACCCAATTAATTTTTTTCATTTTTCGTAAAAAAAATTGTTCAAACTTTAGCTCTCATTTAAAATTTTTTCTAGTAATTGAAAAATTACCAAAAAAATACACAATCTAGGCTAACTATTTACTAAGTTTTAGAAAAGTTTCAAGGCTATAATATCTCTCTGTAAGCAGATATAGGTGCAGGGTTTTTTTTGTCTTGCACTATATATGAAGAAAAAAAATTTAAACTTTATATTTGTTAGGATTATGCTTCCTTCAAGCTTATGGGTTGATATACTATCTAATATAAAAAGAATTAATCAACTAGCAAGTCACATTTGATTATCAAGATGTTTAATATAATGACTAAAAATAGATATCTGTATTTATACAGAACTATTCTAATAATAATATACAAATAAAGTAGATTTATCAATATTTTTAAGAGCTTGGAAGATTTTGTATTTATGTATAAACAGAGAAAAAAGTTTATAATTACTGGTTGAATTATAAATAAGTAATATTATAATATGATCTTTAACTTTTTTTGTTCTGAAAGCAGGCTATCAGCTAATGTTTTATCAGATTCTATATGTCAGTATAATACTGTTTTGTCAGTATTATAAACATCTTTAGGATAGTAATTTTTAATTATCTCTTGTAGCTTATTACAGAATTTGGAAAGTTCTTCAAAAGATACACTTGTAGCTTTATCTAAGTATTTGTATTTTTTTATATGATACTGTTTTTTAAATTTTGAAAGCCACTTATCAAAAGTATTAAAATTTGTTATATTGAGTTTTTTTGCAAGTTGTATTGCTTTGCATTGAAGTATTATATTCATAAATATCTGTAGTACTATATTTGTCCAGAATACTCAAAGAGCTAGTATCTCTTCTAGCAAAAAAAACTTTCTAGTCCTTTGTCATTTCAAAATAGTATTGTTTAAATTTAAATTAAGTAATAGCCACTTTTCTTTTTTACAAATAATACCTAAGATTGTTGCTTCAGCAACCAATTTTTTTGCCAATTTAATTTAACTAACTTCTTTTTGTTTTAAATAGTATATTTCAGCTTTTTGAGCATCAATAAGGTTTTTCTTTTTTGTATTATTATCTTTGTCATATTTTTGCCTTTTTGTTAGTTCTTTTACAGGTCTTTCTACTATTGCCATTATACTAATATTTGTTACAAATTGTATCATAATACAAGTAAAAAAAAATTTAAAGAAAAATAAATCAAAAAAAAAAATCAAAAAAGAAACATGTTTTTAAAATAAGAAAAGACATGATTTTGTTTGCTAAAATAAAACTGTTTAATAAGCCATTAGAAATATAATATTTTTAGAGCTAAATTCTGCTCAAGAAGACAAACTTCATTAAGGTATAAAATAAAATAATTTTTCTTTTTAAAAAAAAAGCAATGTTTAAAGAAATAGAAATAAAATATTTGCAAAATGTTTGAGATTTAGTTTTCTAAAAATTAGTACAAGACCTATCTATTTAAATTAAATTTAGAATAAATAAAAGACTTAAAAGACCTATTTATTCTATTAAGCAAGAAGTGTGGTTTTTATTTTGTTAAAATAATTTTTTAACTAATGATTTTCTCTTTTTAATTATCCAAATAGTTTTTTATTATTTTTATAAAATATTTTTATGAATTGGTTTCATATCTAGAGAAATTTATTGTATTTTATGAATCTTTAAAGATAGAATATATATCGATTATTTATTATATAATTTTAGTAGTGCAATAGGATTTTATACATAAATTGAAATATGCTATTAATAAAAGTTTTTAAAACTACTATTAATCTTTATCAAAATTTGGTAATATATAGAGTAAACCTTCTATTTGTAGTAGTAAAATTTTTATAAGTTGTATTATTTTAAAAAAATATATTTCTTTATACAGTTAAATTGCCAGAGATACCCCAAATTTGCTAGAGTTATACAAAAACATAGTAAAAATATTTCTAAAACAGGTGATTGATCAATTAGATTTGTACTTACTATATAATTTGTTATACAAAAAAAATTTACTATATATATCATAAAATAAATAATCTATATACACTCTATCCTTAATATTATAAGAACTTCTATCTATATTAACAATTAAATTTGATCAAAAAAATTTTTTCTTTAAATAATACAAGTTTGCTTATACAAATAATTAAAAAAAGTCTGAAGAAAAAAAATCAGTAATATTTATTTATATCAATTTGATTATATATATACGCAAAGTTGGTATATTTGTCTATTGGTATCAATAGGCTTTTGGTCTATTAACTAAACCTGTTAGTTCTATTAAAAAATTACTAATCCAATAGACCAATAGACCAATAAATTAAATATATAATAATAATTCAAATATAGTAAATATAGTAATAATTAATTTTAGGGTATGGCGACTTAGTGAAGTGATGAAGTTGTCGCACCCCAAGCAGTTGAGTACAAGTTCAATTTCCACTGGAGATGAAAATTGAATTTCGAAAAACAGATTCGGTAACTAACGCAGTGGCCGGGAAAACTCGAGACCCTGTAACTGTGGTCATACCAATTTATCAGAACTGGAAGATCTTGGGGCCTTTGTGTAATAGAGAGGTTACACGAATATGTACCAAAATCGTAGAAAGCCACAGGGCCGATACGGCAGTGGGGCACTCGCTTGGCAAGTCCCGAGTAGAGAGGTAGCACAGA